TGAATAACAGGAACTCTTTTTTTAATTGTGGAAATTTTCAAACATAATAAAAAATAATGAGACTAGCACAATAACCTCATGAACCCATCTCAGCTTCTACAAATATCAATACATGGCTATTGTGTCTCAGCTATATATCCTTGGGAGTATTTTGAAACGAATCCCACACATCATAGTATTTCATTTGTAAATACTTAGGTATAGGGTGGGTGAGTGGGGAGCGTCAGGGGGATAAAGGGGCACAAAAATTCTCAATCATAATACAATTGGTCACGGGGATGGTAGAACAGCATGGTTCTATAGCCAGTGATTCTGTAACATATTCCATGTTGACAGATGGTAACTGCTCTAGTGGGGGTGAGGATTTAATAATTGGGTAACTGTTGAACCACTGTGTTGTATACTTGAAACCAATATAAGATTGTATATCAATGATACTTCAATTATAAAAAAAGAAATAAAATAAATACCTACATATGTATCTTTAAATGTAAGGAAGTTTTACAAACATAACCACAATGCAATTATTAAAACTTAAAAGAAAAAAATCAATTTTGTGTAGTTATGAATAATGCTGTGGTAGAACAAATTCATGCCTGTAACTTTTTTTGTAGTGGAATAATTTCTTAGGAAGGATTTCTAGAAGTTGAATAATGTAACGTTTTATCGATTCACCAACTGTGTATGTGGTATTCATGGAGTCTTTATTTGGGCCCAGCAGCCTGTAGGTACAAGACCTTAACAGCCTTGTACTGATACTAACAAAGGGGTAGTTCATTGTCCTGCTCAGGGAAATGCCCTTCTGGATCTTGGCCGCATCTGTCCCTGCATGAAATTCTTTGGCCATGTGGTGATAATAGCTTGTCTTTTATCCACTTGCCGTAAAAGTATGGTTAAGAATTTATTGTCCACAGAATTATGACCTCTCTCCCACTTCAATCCATCCCATTTTTTGATTAGCAATCAAACTTGAATTTCATTTTCTTGAGTCATTAATAGCTGTACAAGGTACCAAGATTCTTTTTTTTTTTTTTAAGGTATAGTGGACATATAACATTATAGTAGTTTCAGGTATACAAATACTGATTCCATATTTGTATATGTTGTGAAATGTTCACCACAATAAGCTCAGTTGACATCACAGGATTCTTTTCTTATTCTTCTACCTAGAATGGGTAAGGTTGTATAGTCTTAGATGAGTCCAGGAGAACTTGGTTCTATGTTTTTACCATTTTAAAAAGGTAAAATAGAAATTAATGGAAAACATGAAGGTAATCATTTAAATTTAGAGTTTAGCTTTAAAGTTGTGTGGATTACCAAACTGAGGATTCTGGGTGTCAGTAAGAGTCTGGGTAGGGGATTTCACATTTTTAAAACTACAATAAGCAACATATGAGGAATTTGTCTCTGTTGTCTATTATTTGGGGGCAGAGTCGGACAGTACAAAGAACAGGGCTTTGGAGTCAGATCTGGGCTCATTTTGTGACCTTGTCATAATAACACTAACAAAGGCACTACAAGTCGTTATCATTTTCTGACCATGCTGTGTACCAGACACTATACTAAGCATTGTATATGTCATTTCATTTAGTTTTCACAATAACCCTGCAGGGTAAGTTTATGATCTCCATTTTGTTGGTGGAGAAACTGCAGCTTAGGGAGGTGAAAGACAAAGCCTAGGTCTTCTCTGTAGTCTGTTTTCTTTCTCTTGTCTCATGGTTCTTTCTTTCTCCAGCCATTCTCCCAGGTTTCCCAGAATCCCGCTCCCCCCCCGCCCCAGCTGATGGGTAGGAACTTTCTGCTGTTACAGTTGCAAGGTGTATTTGTGGAAGGTGGGAAAAGCCCTGCTCTAAGGCTATCACTTCAGTTTTCCTCACATGTACTCCCCATTGTTTTGACAGGCTCTCTGGTGACAATCTGAGTGTATATAATTTTAATGTATGTGAGAGAATGCTTCATAGATACTTCATCTTTTCCTTAGTTACTAATTTCTTCCCAAAGTTTTCAGAGTTGGGTATTTTTTCAGCTCTTCTACTCATTCATCTTTTTTTTCCTCTCAACTTTGCTTTTTTTACAGAGTTTGAATTCTTACACAAATGGAGCATATGGCCCACCGTACCCCAGTGGTCCTGGGGCAAATACTGCCTCATACACTGGGGCTTATTACACACCCGGGTATACACAGACCCCTTACTCCCCAGAGGTTCCAGGCACTTACCGTTCACCTGGCAACAGCCCAGCCCCAGTCTCTAGCTGGCTGTATCCCCAGCAGGACTGCCAGACTGAAGCACCCCCTCTAAGGGGGCAGGTTCCAGGGTATCCTGCTTCACAGGTAAGCAGTTTTCTGTTGGATTTACTTTTTTTTTTTTTTAACTTTCAGTGAGCAATACCATGTTTATTTCACTTCAGGGGGAGTTCTAATATGTCTTTGTGCTTTCTTAGAGCATATGGGTCCACTTATTTATAGTATCTATGGGACAGTCTTATGCTATGCTTCAGCCATTGAATTTTAGGCCGTATTCCTTATCATCACCAAATATAATCCTGGTATCTTTGGAACCAAGTTTTTATAGGCTGGAGAAACTATTATAACCAGTTAAAAACACTATAATGTAGCCCAGTAGCAGCTAAAGTATTTTCTGGTAAGCAGAGAAGAAGCATCTCAGAATCTGTTTATACTAGAACATTTTCATTTTTTCTTTCAAGTTTTTTTTAGCAATGACCAGCATATTTCCTTCCTGTCGATCTAGAACCCTGGAGTGACCCTGGCCCACTATCCTTATGGGGATGGTAATCGTAGTGTCCCACAACCAGGACCAGCTGTACGACCACAGGAGGACTCCTGGGCTTCTCCTGGTGCTTATGGCATGGGAGTCCGTTACCCCTGGCCTTCTGCTGCGCACTCAGCACCGCCTGGGAATCTCTACGTGAGCGGAAGTACTTCACCATGGCCTAGCAGTGGGTCTCCTCAGCCACCTCCTTCACCACCTCAACAGCCCAAGGTGGGAGGCCTTCTACATTGTTCTTTTGAGGTTTGGGCAGTTAAGATTGCACAATATGGAACTTTTCTAATTGCAAAAAGTTGGTGATTCCTACCTATTGCTTTACCTAGCCCTGTTTCCTCTTAGCTTTTTCTTAAAAAAAGAAACACAATTTTTTAGAGGGTTAGGTTCACGTCCTTTTTTAAAAGACAGAAATTGCTCATCTGCTATTGGTTGTAATACTATCTGAATGTTAAACAGAATGAGAAACTGTATTTTATTACCTCAATTTATGGGCAGAAGACAAAAGCAATGTGAAATTGTATGGTTTTGTTAAACCACAAACTTGAACATCATTTGCTTGTGGCTAGGTTCCTTTTCAGGATCTCTCTTAAGGTTTTAACTCTTCACGGGGGGAACCAATTTCTGTCTATTAAGTCACTGGATGGATTGTGAGGTATTAAAGATAAATTCTGAGGTGTTCATGGTGCTGGCCTGCTTCAGGGCAAATTCTAGCCATTATATTTAGGAATCCTATGCCTTTTCCTTGAAAGGCAACTCCCTTTTATCTTTTTAGGGCTGTGTTTTTCTCAAATGATTAAGGAGGGAGGTTGAGTTTTATTCATGGGGAATCTTCACATGTGCCTTCCTGTTCAGGTGAAAGATGTGGGCTAACAAATCAGATGTTGATGGATTCCCATTAAACAGTTTTTTCCCCTTTTTGCTCTCCCACTCCAAGGACCCCTCATACCCTTACAGCCAGTCGGATCAAGGCATGAACCGGCCCAGCTTCCCGTGCAATGTCCATCAGTACGAGCCCTCGGGAAGAGTGAGCAGTGACAGTTCCGGCCTTTTGGATTCCCCAGTCCAGTATAGTGCTGAGCCTCACCCGTATGGTAACGCCACCGCTGAGCATCCCAGCAATCCAGGCCACGGTGATCGTGTTTCGGAGGAGTGCTCATCCTCAGAGGAAGGCACTCTCCCAAGTATTAAAAAAATCATACATGTGCTGGAGAAGGTCCACTATCTTGAGCAAGAAGTAGAAGAGTTTGTAGGAAAAAAGACAGACAAAGCATACTGGCTTCTGGAAGAAATGCTAACCAAGGAACTTTTGGAACTGGATTCGGTTGAAACTGGGGGCCAGGACTCTGTCCGGCAGGCCAGGAGGGAGGCTGTTTGTAAAATCCAGGCCATACTGGAAAAATTGGAAAAAAAAGGGTTGTGAAAGGGTGTAGAACAAAGGGGAAGCCTGTTACTAACATGACCAAAGAACTCTCGGTTTTGGCTGATTACCCTCTTTTTGAAATGCTTGCTGATGACAAGAAGCAATACATTCCAGCTTCCCTTTGATTTAAAACTTGAAAAACTGCGAAAAGACTTGGAAGAACATTTTAGTTAGTGAAATGAGTTATTTTCAGTTTTCAGACCAATGAATGTAATAGGAAACTGTGGAGTAACCAATATCGCCAAGTAGACTCGCTCCCTAAGAAATTTATGGGTATTTGCAAACTGCTTCTTATCAGCAGGAGGGAAATACGCTTCATGTAACAGGCTTATCAGAAAGCTTCCAGATGAGACTGGATATAATCTGAGACAAACAAGCTCTGGTTTTTAAAATATCTGGATTACTTGTCACGTTTTTGTACATTGTGGCTGCTTTCAACATACAGTTCATGTGCAAATTACAGCTTGGACTTTAGCCTTCTTGGACCTCTGTTTTGTTTTGTTACTTGCAGTTCACAAATATAGTATTGTTCTCTACTTCTTGGTACTTTTTGTAGTAATATGTTTAGTATAATTATTCAAGAGACTATACTGACGGCCAGATCGTGTGGCAATTCTGAATGAATTTATATCTTTCACCACTTGAATATACTGCAGTATGTAGGGAGTTCCTGAGGTAAATGGTCTCCTCTTTTGTATAGACCATTAGGTGAAAGTTTTACCATTTCTACTTTTCATGTTCATAGTGGAAGGTGAATTTGGAACTGGCAAGGGCATAAAAATGAAAATACTGTGGCCATTTTCTTTATTGCTCTTTTATTGTATTTGGGTAAAGATCCACTTTAAAATTTCCTTCTGTTCTCCTTAACTGTCTTCACTCCTGCTGCTTCCATACAGCACACTGTGAGAGATACAGATGAGAAGTTAAATGCCACAGTGAGTAGAAATAATAACTGCAAAAGTAACAAATACAACTGTTTGGAAATGCTAGCTCCATCTAAAATGTTAGTTTTGCCATCAAGATCCTGTGAACATATTTCAGCTTAGTTTATAGTCAGAAACAATGACGGGTATAAAGAGGGTTCTTCATGCTCAGGGAATGAATCAGCCATAGCTAAAGCAGGAAATTATTTTCTTCTTTTCAAGGTAGATTTGATGTTTATTTCCCTGGAATAATTTACATAAGATAATTATTGCCTGTTTTATTTAAAAAAAACCAATTTTATTACCATTGATAACAGTCATTTTAGAGCCAAATTTAAGGAAAGGATATTATGAAACGGTTAGCTAGGCTTGTTTGGGTAGCTCTATGATGTTGTATAGAAGAGACTTAGGTAAATAACTTACTTTTTACATCTGAAGTGAGTTCTAGTATACAGTATCTGTTATTGTAAAAACAGCTGTTCTTAATAAGATATCCAAGTGATAATTTATTTTTCCCCAAACTGCCAGGCCTATTGATAATAAATCTGTCCGCCATCTTTTTTTTTTTTTTTTGAGAATATTTTTATGAGAAGAAATGGAGTAAAAATATTGACTGGGTCTTATGGTTGGGTATAGTGTTAATTTTATTCTAGGATTTTAATATAAGAAGGTTAAAAAAGGCTTTTCTATTAAAATTAGAAAATTGTACTTGCAACTAAGAATTTGGAAGGGGGAGAACATTAAAGCTCACCTAAACCAGTGAGGCAATGACTAATTCAGGAGAGATCACTTCTGTTTGACTGAATGACTAGGATATCAATTTCTCTGAATCCTGGTTTTTATTTTATATACACACACACATTATACACATATATGCATATATGTGTGTGGTTTTTTAAAAGTTATTTTTGAGATTATTTTAGGCCTCCTGAAGAGTTGTAAAAATAGTTTTTGTATACTTTTTACGCAACTTTCTCTTATGTTAGGATCTTGCATAACCACAGACATTTGTCAGAGTACAAAATTGGCCTTGGTACAATACTATTAACTAGAGTTTAAAAAGTAGGGATTTTCTTAGTCTTTTCACAGATATCCTTTTACTGTGCCAGGATCCCACCTTGGATGTAGCTGTTGTGTCTGTGCAGTGTCCTCCAACCTGTGCCAGTATATCATGACACCTACTGTTGTATTTCTGGTGGTGTTAACCTTAATCACTACCTAAGGTGGTGTCTGCTAGGATTCTCTACTGTAAACTTCCTATGTTTTCCTTTGTAATGACTAAATATTTGCCAGAGGTACTCTGAGACTGCAAATGTCCTGTTTCTGCTTAAACTTTTGCCTACTTGTTTTTGTATCCCTTGGTAGGTCTTGCTTTGTCAATTATATGTGGCATTCCAATGGCGATATTCTATTTCTCTCATTCCTTCTATGTTCATTAATTTGGATCATAAGGAAGGATTATCATTTCTGAATTTATTTAATTGTACATACTGAGGATGAGTGCCAACTTAGAACTGAAAGATGCGAACCATGCTGGAGTGACTCCAAATACATGGATCAAAAAAAGAACTAAATTGGTAACCCATTTCAGAAAATATAATGAACTTAAGAAGGAAAATAGTGGATAATTATTGATTTGTGGATTTGGTTCACTTTTTGACTTAGTATTGACTCCAGACTGAATTCAAAATTTTCTTGAAATTTCCCCTCTGGACTTTTAAAAAGTGTTCAAGTTTAAATTACTTTGGGTACAATTTTTGACAAAATCTTGAATAAAGTTACCCAGACCTGGTATGTTAAACACGGCCATATCTTTTTTATAAGAAGCCACTATTGTTCCAAAATAAGCATCAATTGAAGTATTTATATAAATGAGCTCTCATGAAGTATCTGGGGGATGAGCTATGCTCATCTCTACATTGTTGGTGTGGAATTCTTCTAAATGCTTACAAAAATAGGGTCTTGAAAACCTTGAGTTTAAAGGACTAAATTTAATGTAGTGCTGTTCAATGTAGGCAGATGTTTAAAAAATAACAAGTTGGCGTTTAAAAAAAAGTTTTTGGGGGGATGGACAGTTGATGATTGGATTCATCTTTTCTTTCTTTTTAGGAATATGAGTTTAAAGACTCTATTCCAGAGGAAATTATGAGTTTGAGGAGTCAGTTCTATGAAAAGGAGCCCTCTCCTGCTCCCACTCCCATTTTCCTCCCACAAAAGCAGCCACTTTCAACTGAGTTTTAAAAAATTACCTCCATCTTTTTTAATGATGCAGTTGTATTGCTGCTTCTCAATTTATCAGTTTGAGATCATTTCTACTGACTTTCCAGGACAGGGGATGAAGGCTTAAATTTCCCTCTTCCTCTACTGTCCACACATCTCAGTCAGGTAGTAAACTCCGATTACTTTTCCTTCCCTGAACAACTTGCTTGCCCTGGAATTAATCCTTTAATTTTGTTTGCTTATATACTTGACTAATTTGACCTCAAATCCTCCATCACTTGTCTAAATCTTCCCTCAAGATGCTCAGACATATATTGTATCAATTTCAAACTCCTGAAGAAGTCTGTCCAGAGCCACTAACTGGAGAATGGGTATTGCTGGGGCACACTGTCATTCTGGGATCCTACTCATCTGGGGGATTCTCTGCCTCTCCTGTTGATTTTCCATTTTCCCTACCCTCTGTCTGTCTTTTTCTTAGTTTATTCTCATTTTGGCAGAGCATGTTCTCTGGTAGCTTCCTCAAAAGGGTGCATTAAAAGTAATTTTATATCCTGTGTATTTGAAAATGTGTTTTTATAATCCTTTGTATGAAACCTGATTTTTCTTTCTGGAAGTTTGTAGAATATTTTTGTTCCCTGTTCTGAAATTTCCTAACAGTATAGCTTTGGTGTGGGTGTATTTTTGTTCATTTTCCTGGCACATTTCATTCTGGAACTTTATATCCTTAAATCCCATGACATTTTCTTAATATTTGTTTTTTTTGTTAATTTTCCCCCTCCACCACCCTCATCTTGCTAACTCTTTCTAGAATTCCTGCTGTTTCTGTTAGACCTCTTAGTTCTTTGATTTACTTCTCTTTTTTCATTTTTTGCCATCTTGCTGTACTTTGTGGGTAATTTACTCACCTTTGTCTTCCAACTCTATTGAGTTTTGTTTCTTGCATCACATTTTAAAAGTTCTAAGACTTTTTTTGTTCTCTGTGTTCTTTTATGGGATTCTGCTTTTGTTTGTAGTTGTAGCATCTTGTGTCTCTGAGGATATTAATAATAGTTTCTTGATTTTTTCTTCTGGAATAATGGATTTCCTCTAAAGTTGTTTTTTCCTTTCTTGATCTCCATCTTTATCATGTTAGAGATATTTCTCAGATGTCTGTTAGTTCTTGGTTGTGTTTTTTTTTACAGGGTTGTTGTCCTAGAGAGTCAAAATTGTTTCTAGAAAATGCTTCCTGACTATTCTGTTTAAAAGTATTATCTTTTCATAACCTTTCTTGGAAGGGGGATAGCTGTTTCAAATCTGGAATTAGGAAGGGAAGATTATTTGGATAGTTTTCTGTCCAGGGTGAAAACAGGAGGGTTTGCACTCTGTGGCTTTTCTCACCAGAGCAGCGGGTAGGAGCACGTTGGTTGTAATGAATGTGAGGCAGAGGGCGCCAGCTGCCAGGAGTGAGGATTTAGGAATTTCTGGGGACAGTGCACGTTTTCTCTCAGCCAATCCTTAAATGTTCTTCTGTTTTGCAATATGTACTCCATCTTGGTAAGCTCATGCCAATGGCAGTATTGCCAGATAAAATAAAGGACCCCCAGTTACATCTGAATTTCAGATTAAAACAAATCGTTTTAATAAAAGTATGTTCCAAATACTGGATGGGACATACTCATACTAAAAATGATTGTTTTTCTGAAATTCAAATGGAACTGGGAGTAACTGTATTTTTTAAAATGAAGTTTTTATTTTGAGGTACTTGTAAGTTCACATGCAGTTGTAAGAGGTAATGCAGAGCTTCCGTGTACCCCTTACCCAGTTTCCCCTAATGGTAACATTGCAAGGTTTTACTGTAGCGTCCCAACCAGGACATTGGCGTTCTTGTAGTTTCAATGGCACAGTTAACTCCTCTTGTTGGCCTTTCAGAGCTGCACCTGCTTCTCCTTCCCCCTCTACCAAACCCCTGGCCACCATCAGTCTTTTTTCTATTTCTCCATTTTGTCATTTCAAGAATATTCTGGAAGTGCAATTGTACAGTATGTAACCATTAGAGATGGGCTTTTTTTCACCATGCATAATTTTCTTGAGAGTCATCCAAGTTGCTTCCTGAATCAGTAGTTCTTATTGCAAAGCAGTAGACTCTGATACGGCTGTACCACAGCTTGTTTCTATCTGCCTGTTGAAGGACATCTGGGCTGTTCCCAGTTTTGGGCTATTATTTTATTATGAACAATGCTGCTATGTACGTTGACGTACAGGTTTTCTATGAACATCGTCTTTATTTCCTTGGGATAAATGCCTAGAAGTGCAGTTCTGGGTCATATGGTAGTTACATGTTTAATTTTTTTAGGGAACTACCAGACTTTTCTAGGGTCTATACCACTTTACATTCCCACCAGCAGTGTTTCTCTGCATCTTTGCCAGTATTTGGCGCTGTCACTATTTTTTATCGTAGTCACTCTGGTAGGTGAATAATGATAGAACATTGTGGTTTAATTTGCATTCCCTTAGTGGTTAATGATGTTGAATATCTTTTTATGTGCTTATTTGTCATCTCTATATTCACTTCTGTGAAATGTCTGTGCATGTCTTCTACCCATTTTTAAACTTATTTTAGAATAATTTAGATTCACAGAAAAATG